GCTGGTTTGGGCCCATGGCGAACTTCATTTTCCAGCAGCCCCTGCCCATGTTGCTGGGCTGGTTTTGGGCAGGGTGTGCAGGCAGCAGATTGCAGCTCTGCCCCAGCTCCGGACCACATTGTCACCTCTGCAAGATCTCAGCCCAGGAGCAGCTCCCTGCCCAACCATGCCCTGCCAGCACAGTTGGGGTGGTCTCCATGGAAACCCTGGCTCCCAGATGTCCTGGCACCGGAGCTGCTCAGGTTTCCATGGAAACTGGCCACACCAATGTGGGCAGGGGCTGCTGGGAAATGGAGTCCAGCTGCCAGCAAGATCTGCCGTTTTGTCCACCCCTGAACTAGCATAACCTAATGTCAGCCAGAATTTCTTGCCTGTGGCTTAAGTGATTACAACTGTCACTTACCAGCATATAGGTGTAACCAGGGGCAGACAATTATTTTGACTGGAGGGCAACTTAATGAGTTTTGGAGAGCTGTGGAGGGCCACAAGATAGCCCCACCCCTTGATGGGTGCCCCACCCCCCCGGTAGCCATGTTGGGATTGAAAGTTCCACCCCTAAACCCTTCGCCACTGGAAGTCCCACTGCTTGCCCTGGAAATACTCCTTTTGGGAGGGAAGGTGCTACCATCTTGAAACTGGGAAAAAACCACAGATAATATACTAAAAAATCAAATATCTACTATAACATTTTAATTTTATTTAAGAAAATATTTTTGTCCTGATTTAAGTGTGTTTGCATAGTATATTTAAAGGAAATTGCATAATAGCTCAAAATGCATCTCCAGCAAAACCAAGCAGGTGATTCTTTCATTTTAATCAGCACTGGTGAGACTGTAGCTGGAGTACTGTGTCCAGTTCTGGGCACCACACTTCAACAAGGACGTGGACAAGCTTGACAGAGTCCAAAGAAGAGCTACCCGTATGATCAGTCTTACATGGTAAGCTATACAAGGAAAGGCTGAGGGATCTGGGACTCTCCAGCCTGAGAAAATATCCTTTATTTTATATTTATTTTATTTTATATATCTACTCAAAGAATTTTGCCTGCCTTTTTTTTAAAACTTTGCACCTCCTCAGGCTGAGCTGTGTCTCTTTGGAGAAGCTGAGGGGTTTTCTCCCTCTCCCTCTCCCACCCAGAGACAGGCATTTCTGCTACTTCTCAAAAAAAGGTTTTATTGCACCTGAGCGATTGGTAAGAAGCACACACACACACGTGTTAAGAAACTCGCCCTTTGGAAGAAAGGACACTATGCACCAGGAATCGGTGAGATGAGACAGTGATCCCTGAGTCAGCCAAGGGTCCCCATGGAAACTGTACCAAGCCTGGACAGCTGTGGGATGCTGGGAACTGTAGTCCTGCTTTGCCCATTCTGTTGCCCCTCAATGCCAAGCCACAGCCCCCCAGCCCTGCTGCTGCCCCTCATTCCTGACTCACAGTAACCTGCCCCCCCAGACATACCGTGCCTCTCACTCCCAACTAGCAGCCCAGTCCCTGCTGATACCCCTCACTCCTGACCTGCAGCCCCCTGGCCCTGCCTGTTCCCCACGCTCCCAGCCCACAGCCCCTTGCCCCCACAGTGCCCCTCACTCTCAAGCCACAGCCCCCCCAGCCTTGCTGGTGCCCCTCAGTCCCAAGCCACAGCCACCCCCAGGACCTGCCTGTTGGGGCCTGCATGTAGACCATGTGATTAGCCTGCCTCCAATCACCCTGCCCCCCTCCCCCGAATGCCAAGCAGATCCTTGCTGGGGCAAGCTGGGAAGCGCTGGGAAAGCAGAGGCAAAATCCTGGACATGTGCTGATATTTTAAAAAAACGCCCAGATGGAGATGGGAGGACCCAAAAAGTGGACATGTCTGGGAAAACCTGGACATATAGTAACCCTAGTCTTACTCTTGTATACTGGGGGGTGGGGGGGAGGGTTGGGGAGTAGGTGTGTGGGGGAGGGTGGGTGTGGACAGGAGTCTAGTCAGCATGCCTTTGCTTTCCCTCCCTGTGAATGCCCTTCATATGTGTGCATGGAGAGCGGGGTCCTCAGAGTCCCTGGAGTGTGCCAGTCCCTGAAGCTGCACATGGTGGCAGCGAGTGGGGCCAGCCCCGCCTGGCTCCATAGTGCGCAGCTCCCCATGTTCCCACCCTAGTTGCTGGCTGCAGGTGGCGGCAGCTTGCGGGGTTAGTCCCACCCAGCCCAATAGCGCTCCTGCCCAAGTCCCTGGCCACACGTGGGGAGTGGGCTGGGGTGGGGAATAGTTGCTTGGCATAGAGGCACCAGTTTGCAGAGGGCAGCAAGGGCCAGGGCTTACGGTGGGGCCCCGCAGGCTGGATGGAATTGCCTGGTGGGCTGAATCCAGCCTGCAGGCCGTATTTTGCCCGCCCCTGGTGTAACCCCTCTCGCTAGGGAGTGCAGGTGTGTGGTTAAGGTGCCTCAGTTTCCTCCAAGGAGTACCTCAGTTTAACAAAAGGGTACAAACAAGTTGGATTAATTTATACTCACTGGCATCAGAACTGCAATCTGTAATATAACTCAGGAAACTCAGCAAGGAAACCTGATAACAAACTTACCCCTTTCAACAGTACAACTTAAAACTCCCACTCCAAGTCTCACAAGGATCCTTCAAGGTGAGACTCTTCACCTTGTGCACAGTCCCAGCCATCCCAGATGACACAAGGACTTTCACTGCTCCACAATCACACTGACTGCACTACCTTCTGCAGCCTTTTAAGCGCACCTCACTCAGGCCCGGCTGTCCCAGTAGTCAGTCTCTCTCCTTCCCTGCTGGGGTCCCCTCAGTAGAGAAGTTGATCCTTCTCCCAGCTGCATTCAAACCAGGCTTTCAATGGTGTGGTGTGGTGTAGAGCATCAAGAAACACAACCTCTCACCTGCTCCTTTCACATGGCTCTGGGCAAACTGGCTCCCACCTTGCAGCTCATCTTTCCTACTTTCCCTCCAACCAACCTGGGGAATGTAGTTCAACCCAGCTTCCTGGGTCTGGTTTTCCTGGGCTTGGAGTGGCCCCACGCCTCTCTGCCTAACACTTGGCAACCCAGGGGCAGGGGTTACATAGGTTATGCACATTACAATTTTTAAATCGGGGTGGGCAAGATACGGCCTGGGGGCTGGATCCAGCCTACCAAGGATTCTATCTGTCCTGTGGCACATCCCTTGGCACTGCCTGGCCCAGGCATGGGAGGTAGCCAAGGCCATGGCATGTATGGCATGATGGCTGGATTTGGCTTCCTGGCAGCCTCCCCAGCAGTGGCTCACTCTGCCTGTGTGCTGCTGCCAGCCCTCCCTGCACCCACCACCGGCCTGGGAACCCTTCAGGCAGGGTGTGCTTGGCTGGGTGGATGGGCAGGGGGTGCAGGAGGGTAGGGAGGAGTGTCTGGGAGTGGGACAGATGGGTGAGGGCAGGGCTGGGATTGCAGGGCTGTGACAGCGCAGGGCTGGGGCCCGAGACAGAGCCGCAATCCACTCCTCGCATGTCCCTGCCTGCAGAACCGGTGCCCTTGCAGGAACGTGCAGGGAGCTGACTGCAGCTCTGTCAAGGGCCCCAGCCGTGTGCTATCACCACCCTGTGATCACCACCCTGTGATCCTGGCCCCATTTGCCAGTCCTGCTCCTGGATCCCACTCCCAGCCCCATCCCATCTGCTCAGCAAGGCATGCCTTGCCCATGGGTGCCCTGAGTTGATCTGCACGGAGACCCTGCCCTTCTACCTGCCCGCTGCATCTGGTGACCCTGGCAGTAGGTGCAGGACAGACAAGCCCAGGGCTGGTTGGAATAATTTCTCTCCCCTGACATCTGGCCATGGCAGGCAACATGAATGCTGTGTGCCCCTGGAGGCTGGGGGTAGGGGGGGGGCACAGCGACTGCCTGCAGGCGGCAGTGTTGGCAGTGGGGGTGTGGTGGTGGCGAGTGAGGAGCGCCTGCAGGCAGCCTCAGCTGTGTCAGCGGCAAGGGGGGACAGGGGGCAAGTGGTGACTGCCCACAGGCAGCACTTTTTGCAGGGGGTGCATGTACACCTTCACGCACCTGCTATGCGCTGCCAATGCCAGGCAAGGTCAACCCCCCTACAGCCCAAAACAGCTCCCTGAAACTCCTTCAGTCCAAATAATTGCCCACTCCTGGTTTGAGGGCATGGCTTCTTCTACTTCCTTATCTTCTGAACGTTATCCATATAGCATGATTGTATTCTAGTTTAATTTCAGAACATTCTGTGTTAGAGGCCCCTGTACATGTTACAGGTATGGCAAAATTAACTGATTTATTGCACTGTTACCTTAAGACCAGCTACCCATGCGAAGCACCTATCATGCCATAAAAAGCTCCAATCAGCTATAAAGTTAGAACTTAAAAACTGTACTGGTGGTGGCTCCAGCTGGGCAGCCTGGGCTGGGAGCCCGGCCAGGCGTGGGAGTCTTCTTCCAGGCCGCAAGTGGCCCCGCCGCTGCGATCCCCTTCTCGTCAGTGTGGGGGGAGGCAGGATGAGGTGCCCCGCGCCCCGGCACTGAGGAGCGGTCGGGTCTAGCCCGCACTCGTGCCTCCGTCCTGCCCGTGCGCGTGGGGCCTGGCAGGAGGCGCGAGTGCGGGGATCGCGCGCGGCCTTCACCTCAGGGGTAGGGCCGGGACCCGCTGGAGTGAGGCAGGT